CTCTCTTTCTCTCCCCCCCTCTCTTTCTCTCTCTTCCTCTCTTTCTATCTCTCTCTTTCTCTCCCTCTCTTTCTCCCTATTTCTCTTTTTCTCTCTCTCCCTCTCTTTCTCTCCCCCCCTCTCTTTCTCTCTCTTCCTCTCTTTCTATCTCTCTCTTTCTCTCCCTCTCTTTCTCCCTATTTCTCTTTTTCTCTCTCTCCCTCTCTTTCTCTCCCCCCCTCTCTTTCTCTCTCTTCCTCTCTTTCTATCTCTCTCTTTCTCTCCCCCTCTTTCTATCTCTCTCCTCTCACCTGGCAGGTTCTCCGGAGCGCAACCCACGACGGGTGCCCTCCCGTCCTTCCACAGCATGATGGAGCGGGCCCCCAACGAGACCTCCTACCGGGCCCCCGTGGAGAAGCTCTTCTACCTGCCTCACGTCTGCAGCTTCAAGTGCCTGAGCCGGGTGCGGCCCCTCCGTCCCGACCTGCACCGCAGCCGCAACCCGCTCCTCATCCCGCTGCTCTACGACTTCCGCCGCATGACGGCCCGCCGGCGGATCAACCGGAAGACGGGCTTCCACGTCATCTACAAGACGCCCTGCGGCCTCTGCCTGCGTAGCATGAACGAGATCGAGCGCTACCTCTTTGAGACGGACTGCGACTTCCTCTTCCTGGAGATGTTCTGCCTGGACCCCTACGTGCTGGTGGACCGCAAGTTCCAGCCCTACAAGCCCTTCTACTACATCGCGGACATCACCAAGGGCCAGGAGGACGTTCCCCTCTCCTGCGTCAACGAGATCGACAGCACCCCGCCGCCCCAGGTGGCCTACAGCAAGGAGCGGATCCCGGGGAAGGGGGTCTTCATCAACACCGGCTGGGAGTACCTGGTGGGCTGCGATTGCGAGGACGGGTGCAGGGACAAGTGAGTGTCGTCGTCCCCCGGCCCCCTCCCCAATCGGTCCCCAGTCTTCTAAGCGTGATGTTTGCACAACCAGCTCCTCGATTCCTCTCGAGAAGAACCAGGCCGCCAACGCAGGCGTGGGGGGTTTAGCCGCTTCGCTGCAAAGCCCAAAACGGGGGGTGGGTGGGGGTGGGGGCTCAGAGGGAATCCAAGGGGTCTCCAGAGGGTGTCAAACAAGAGGAAATCCAGGCACTTCAAAATAAACATAAGTTATGCCGTATTGCGAGCATAAGAGCTCTGTACAAGAATCCGAACTACTAACAGTCAAAGCAATTTAGCGGCGGATAAGGAATTCAAGGCAGGTGGCACTTTGATCCCTTGTGGGGGCGAAGGGACTCGAGACTCATGACGTGCTTGGGCCCCCCATACCTTGGGCTCGGCCTGCTCGTTTTCTACAAAGGGGTCCAAATCAAGCCAGATCCAGTCCCCGGTGGGGGGGGGGATCCGCTTTGTTCCCGCCATGTTTTATCCGCCAGGAATCTACAGTGGTGCCCCCGTTTGTATCTCCCGCAGGTCAAAATGCGCCTGTCATCAGCTGACGGTCCAGGCCACGGCCTGTACTCCCGGCGGGCAGATCAACTACAATTCCGGCTACCAACACAAGCGGCTGGAGGAGTGTCTCCCCACGGGGTGAGTGGGGGCTTTTCAGGGGAGGGGGAGGCCCCAGAGGGGAGACCAGAGCCAGGATCGACCTCAACCTTCAACTCCTCAATTTCCAGCTGAGCCAATTGAATGTTTTCCGCACCGTGCGCTCGTTCCCCTCTACATTGGAGTCCTCAACTTATGACCAGCCCCTTAACGACCGAATTTACGACAGCCCCGCCCCCACAAAAGCTACTCATGATCCCACTCTGAAGTTTAGGCCTTTTCCCCTGGGGTGGGAGGGTTAATTCCGCTTTTCGATAAAAGCCACGGGTTCACTTCGCCACGGATCCGTTTCCTGACCGTGGAGATTCGCTTAACGACCGACCATCTTTTTAAAAAAATTTTAAAAGATTTTTAAATACGGACAGCTTTACCTTTCACCATTACAACTCTAATGGGCCGTCTCCAGGATGGTCATAAGTCGAAGACCAGCCGGGTTTAGAAATCTTTGCTTTTTGTTGCATGGAAAATTGTGTCCCCCCCACCCACCCCCCTGCTACGAGCTAGATCATCGTGTGGCAAATGGTTTCTGATGTCCTCACCACTTCTCGAAGGTGAATAACGCATGTCTCTCCCCCCCCACCCAACAACCCGGTCTTCCCCCAGAGTGTACGAGTGCAACAAGTGTTGCAAGTGTAATTTGAACATGTGCACGAACCGCCTGGTCCAGCACGGCCTGCAAGTCCGGCTCCAGCTCTTCAAGACCCAGAACAAAGGTTGGGGCATCCGTTGCCTGGACGACATCGCCAAGGGCTCCTTCGTCTGCATCTACGCGGGTAAGGCAGCCGCCTCGGGCTGTGGCTCCACAGGGGAAGCTCTCGAGCCGCACAGCTGGGCAGGCCGAGAAGAAGAGGGGGGGGGACTCGGCAGTGGTGAAATTCAATTTTTTTAATGACTGGTTCTGTGGGCGTGGTTTGGTGGGCGTGGCAGGGGAAGGATGCTGCAAAATCCCCATTCCCTCCCCACTCTGGGACCAGCCAAAGGTGGCGTTTGCCGGTTCTCCGAACTACTCAAAATTCCCGCTACCGTTTCTCCAGAACCTGTCAGAACTGGCTGAATTTCACCCCGGGGTTTTGGCAGCCGTGGCTCTCCTTGGATCCAGGCGGGCTGGGTCCTTTCTTATTTGCGGGGGACTCCCAAGTCCATCCAAACTCAAACTTAAGGCTCAAATGCAAGCCAGCCCCATTGTGATGGGCAGCTTAACAGTCAAATCGTGGCTAATCGAGCTGCATGGTGCGTCATCTTTACGAGTTCAGCCTCTGTGTGGAGGTCAGGAGGGGCGCAACCAATATTTCCTACCTGTGAACCCCTAGAATTTTCTCTCGGTGGGTTTTTCTAGAGCCCTTTGCACTGGGGGCAACAGCTGATCTTGGGCAGGTAGAATCTGTGGGTTTTGGTGTCCTCACCACTTCTCAAATGTGGATAATTCAGCTCCCTGTTGATCACTCTTTTCGGTGCTTTTGTAACTTCAAACGGTTCACTAAACAGGAGTTTTGCAAGTCAAGGACTACCTGTAAAACCAGGGGTGGGGATCTACTGTCCTTTTATAAGTCGTGGACTCCAAGTCCCAGAATTCCTCTGCCCGAATTCTGGGAGTTGGAGTCCTCAAAACTCAAACATGGCTGGCGGGGGAATTCTGGGAGTTGGAGTCCACCAGTCCTTAAAAGGGTCACAGTCCCCCACCTCCGCTGTAAAACAACGGGATATCTACACGAATCATAAGTTTCTAGTCCCCGTGACTGGCGAAACCCGGGAGGACGCTCTCCGAGCCCGCTTCTCTCCTCTGGCAGGGAAGATCCTGACGGACGACTTTGCCGACAAGGAGGGCCTGGAGATGGGGGACGAGTACTTTGCCAACCTGGACCACATCGAGAGCGTGGAGAACTCGAAGGAGGGCTACGAGAGCGAGGCCAAGTACTCCTCGGACAGCAGCGGCGTCAACCTGAAGGACGAGGACGACGACAACTCTGGCACGGAGGAGGCCGAGGAGTCGAACGAGGAGAGCTCGGACGACAATTTCTGCAAAGACGAGGATTTCAGCACCAGCTCGGTCTGGCGCAGCTACGCCACTCGCCGCCAGACGCGGGGCCAGCGGGAGAACGGCCTGTCCGAGACGGCCTCCAAGGACTCCGGCCCGGCCAGGCAGGCCAGCCACGAGGAGGCCCCCGCTCCCTGCAAGCCCCCTGTCTCGGAGGAGACCTCCAAGAATAAGGTGGCCTCCTGGCTGAGCTCCAACACCGTGGCCGACGGATACCCGGACAGCGACAGCCGCTCGTCCTTTCGGATGCAGGAGGCGGCGGCCGAGGGGAAGCCCCCCGTGAAGGCGGAACCCGGGGAGGGTGAGAAGAGTCGGGGGGCCAGCCTCCCCCTCACCAAGGACGAGCCCAGCCCGGAGGGGGGAGAGGTGAAGGTGGTGAAGAAGAAAGAGGTACGGTCTCTGCGCAGAAGAACCGTTTTGTGGGGGGGAAGCCCGGAGGACCCTCCCAAAACAAGCTATTGAATTCCTGTCCTGCTTACACAGTCCTGGGGTGGGGGGCTTCTTCTTTTTTTAAATGCCCACCTGCTGGACTGGGAGGGGAAAACACCCACCTGTCCAGAGCGGATTGGACAGTGAGTGACATGCGTCAAACCACGATTGTGCAGACTGTCGGAAGGGGATAGTCTGGGCCGGAAAATCTCCCCGGAATCGCCTTATAGGAGAAAAGGGAGGGAGGGAGGAAAGGAAAGAGAGAAAAAGGAAGGAAGGAAAAATGAGGAGAGGGAGAGGAGGGAGGAAGGAAAGGAAAGAAGATAGGAAGGAAGGAGGGAGAGGGGAAGGAGGAAAGGAAAGATAATGGAGGGAAGGAAGGGAGTGGGAGAAAGAAGGGAAAGGAAGGGAAAGAGAGAAAAAGGAAGGAAAAATGAGAAGAGAGGGAGAGGAGGGAGGAAGGAAAGGAAAGAAGATAGGAAGGAAAGAGGGAGGGGAAGGAGGAAAGGAAAGATAATGGAGGGAAGGAAGGGAGTGGGAGAAAGAAGAGAAAGGAAGGGAAAATTAGAAGGAGAGGAGGGAGAAAGGAAAGGAGATAGGAAGGAAGAAGGGAAGGAGGGAGAGGCAGAAAGGAAAGGAAAGGAGGGAGAAAAGGAGGGAAGGAAGAGAAAGAAAGAAAAACTGGGCTAATCTTTCTGCCGCAGAATCCAGGGGAATTTTCGGGGCTGGGAGGACCATGAGGAAGTGGGGGGGGTGTCTCCCTCAGCAGGGCACCCAAGCTGCCCCCCAATGCTCACCTGTGGGGCGGAGTCTTGCCAGGGCTGCCCTTCCACCCTCCAGGCTGGGAAACTTTGATGCTCCGGAAGCAAAGGGAAATTTTTCTCTTTTTCCCCGCAGGAACCGGACGATCCAGGCAAAGCAGCGTAAGAACATTCGGCTGTTTTCCTGCCCGACTCCAGGGGGGGGGTCCTCGGACCCCCTTTAATCCCTGGGAAGAAAAGACCCTTCTCTGGGCTCGAGGCCGATCCCCACAGCAGGGGAGGAGACCCCGTTATTTCTTCCCCCAGCCGGGCCGTTTCCCGAGTCCCCGCAAGCAGAAATGGAGTCCCTCAACGGGGAAAAAATGGACCACTGGCCAGGGAGGAGGGCTGGATTCCTGGAAGCCCCCCCTAAAATCTATTTCTCCTTCCAGATGCTGCCCCTTGGGGGGGGAGGTCTCTCACACCTCAATTCATTGCCTTTCCCCCCCCCCAAAATAAGACCGCCTTTTCCATTGTTTCGGGAAAGACTTTTG